CCCTGTCTCTACTAAAAATACAAAAATTAGCCAGGCATGGTGGCACATGGCTGTAATCCCAGCTACTGGGGAGGCCGAAGCAGGAAAATCACTTGAACCAAGAGTTGAGACAGAGGTCGTGGTAAGCTGAGATCACACCATTGCACTCCAGCCTGGGTGAAGAAGCAAGCCTATATCTCAAAAATAAATAGAAAATACCTTGTCTGTGATAAGTAGTGCTCTGTCTGTCTCATGGGCACATATTAGTGTCATAATGCCAAATACTAAGGTTATTATAAGCATAAACATTGAAGATAATTGCTAGAGAAAAACAGACTGAAAAAGAGTCCTCAGATAAAAGAAAAATACATGTAGATGAGAGTAACCTGTCTGGTGAATCATGATATTCTAAGCAATGAAGGAATCACCAATGAGAAAATCTACAAAGGCTCAAGATCAAGTCTCTTTAGGTGAATGAGGCAATCTAGAAAGACCTTGGAATAATAATACCATTTCCTGAGGACCTTCTAAATAAATGCTATTAAAGCTTTAAGTACATTATGGCTCTTCACAAAATCTCTGCTAATGGTAGGTATTAATTGAGACTTAAGAAATATCAAATAACTTATTTACGGTTACACAGATACTAATGGCAAGAGTGTTTAATTAGAAGTACTTTTAATATCCTAGGTTGACTCAAATGAAAACATTTTTGACAGCAATATAAGGTGAATAGCTGAGCATGATGGCACAAGCTATAGCCCCAGCTACTTGGGAGGCTGAGGCACAAGGATTCCTTGAGCAAATGAGTTTGAGTCCGGCATGGGCAACTGTATTCCTGCAGTTTGCTTGTATTCCTCTCCTCAAAGTGCTTTTTCCTTCTCTGCTACATGACTAGCCTGTGAATTTTCCAAACTTTTATGCTCTGCTTCCCTTTTAAATATAAGTTCCAACTTTAAGTTATTTCTTTGCTTCCATATCTGATTGTAGGCTGCTAGCATCAGCCAGGCCACATCTTAAACACTTTGCTGCTTAGAAATTTCTTCTGCCAGATACCCTAAGTCATCACTCTTAAGTTCAAACTTACACAGATTCCTAGGGCCTGGACACAATGCACCCAAGTTATTTGCTAAAGCATGACATGGGTGTACCTTTGTTCCTGTTCCCAGTAACTTCCTCATTTCCATCTGAGACCTCATCACCCTGGACTTCACTATATGTCTATCAGCATTTTGGTCACAACCACTGAACAAGTCTCTAAGTTCCAAACTTTCCCTCATCTTCCTGTCTTCTGAGCCCTCCAGATTCTTCCAACCTCTGCCCAGTTCCAAAGCTGCTTCTACATTTTCCAGTATGTATAGCAGTGCCCTGCCGTCAGTACTAATCTGTTTTAGTCTGTTTGCGTTACTATAAAGGAATATCTGAGACTGGGTAATTCATAAAGAAGAGAGATTTAATTGGCTTACCGTTCTGCAGGCTGTACACAAAGCATGGCACCAGCAGCTGCTTCTGATGAGGGCCTCAGGAAGCTTACAATTGTGGCAGAAGGCAAAATGGGAGCGAGCATGTAACATGGTGAGAGAAGCAGCAGGAGGGAGAAGGAGGAGGTCCCAGACTCTAAACAAGTAGATTTCACGTGAACTAAGAACTCACTCATCACCAAGGTGATAGTGCCAAGCCATTCATGAAGGATTTGCTCCATGGTTCAATACCTCCCACTAGGCCCTACCTCCAACATTGGGGATTACATTTCAACGTGAGATTTGGAAGTGACAGACATCCAAACCATATCAGTAACATAGCAGGACCCCCATCTCTTAAAAGAATATCTTAAACTCCATGTGGAAAGCCTCCTCCCTCAAATTTGTAGTAAATTGTATTATAATGAATACATTAATTAAAAATATACTTGGCCTGGCACAGTGGCTCAAGCCTGTAATCCCAGCACTTTGGGAGGCCAAGGCGGGCAGATCACCTGAGGTCAGGAGTTTGAGACCAGCGTGCCCAACACGATGAAACCCTGTCTCTACTAAAAATACAAAATTAGCCAGGTGTGGTGGCGGGCGCCTATAATCTCAGCTACTCACTCGGGAGGCTGAGGCAGGAGAATCAGTTAAATCCAGGAGACACAGATTGCAGTGAGTCAATATTGCACTGTTGCATTCCAGCCTGGGTGACAGTGAGACTCTGAAAAAAAGTAAAAATTAAAAAATATTTGACAATACCCAGTACTCAGTAATTTATTATTGTTTGCTGTTGACATTAACATTTTCTTTAAGAGTATTTCTTCATCTGTAAAATGAGAATAAAAATTGTAAAATTTGTACCTACTTCTAGCCTCATAGAGTTGTTTTGATGATTATGTCAGAAAGCTTGTAAAAATCTTAGGCCTATTTCGTGACATATAGTAAATGCCCCATGTGCTAACTGAGGATGATCATTATAGGAAAATTTCATAGACTATGAGGGAAAGCCATGCCTAAAATAATCTCCAGCTGATTAAGAAGTGCATTCCTTTTTGTTTGTTTTATCTGAGACAGAGTCTCACTGTGTCGCCAGGCTGGAGTGCAGTGGTGCGATCTCTGCTCACTGCA